TTTCTCTCTAATGTATTCTCAAACGCCGCCGGCGCAAAAACGAGTGTATCTGATTCTTACTGTATGAAAAAGAGACGGCAAGCCTGTCGTATCATGTTTGTTATTCATCAATGAACTTCTGGGAAAGGAGTCTGGTGAAACAAGGAATGGACAGGCAGGACAGGTGATGGAAAAGAAAGACAAAATGGATGTATTCTGCAATAGAATAGGAAGAACAAGAAGAATTAGGATCTATCGTCCTTGAAACCTGTTTCCCTCTGCAACTGCAATGTAAAGTGTCTGCTGAGTTGGGGTGGCTCTGCTGTGAGTCTACTACGTGGTCGTGTCTTTGGTGAGCATAATGGCAGAGCCACAATCGTATGGAGGAACACAAATAAGGAGAAAGCCGCCGAGGGCGTATGTGTTCCTCTAGATATACACGTCAATATTTATTAACTCGCTTCATGCAATGTAATACGTCAAGCAATAACCTACTCCATAGGTAAGGTGACCCATCCAACTCTCTAATGCAGATATAATCAACGCCGATAGATCATTAAATTATTAAATATTCTTATATATAGTAATCCCTTTTATCGCTCTCCCTTATCTACGCCTCTGTGAGGGCGATCTTCTTATCTGTAGGTGCGACAATGACATCCTCGATCTTCTCGTCGCTGAACTTAAGATCCTCTTCAACTGAGACGGAGTCCTGGATCTTCATGAAGATGACGGGGGCGGCGATGACGAGCGAAGCACCGAGGCAGGCCCATGTAGCGGCAAAGATGGTGTCGAATGGCTTGCCAAGGCCGTCGAGACGCCAGAAGATGGCTGCACCGGCCGATTGGATACCTTTGTAGAAGCCTGGTTTGACAAGTTAGTGCTCTGGTATGGATGGACATAAGTGAGAAGGATGATGATTGGGACTTACCAGCAAAGTTGGCTGTCTTACGGCCAGAGTTGGAGAGAGCACCCATGTACCAGTAGATGCAAGTCTGCCAAGCAGCATCGAAAAAGCCGTAGAAGAAGTAGAGGAACATGGGAGCAAGGAACTTGTGAGCACCATCGTCCCAGTCAATCTTGTCATCCTCGTTGGCAGGGTTCATGGCGATCTCACGAGGTCGCTGATCCTTCTGCCAGGCATAGCCACCGCCCCAGATAGCAAAGGTCAGAACAAAGAGGACGACCAGAGAGATCTTTGCACGGACACTGCGACGGACGCTAGAGGCGTCAAGAGCGTATCCAACCATAAGGGCGCCAAAGATCTGAGCGAGCCAGTAGAGTAAGTTGTTAAGAGCGCGAGTGCGGACGTTGAACTGAGCGAGGTTCATGTTGACGTTTTGGTAAGTGTAGAAGATGTTGGAGGAGAAGAACATGGGGAAGAGGAGGACAACCCAGGGGGCGTGGGAGAGTGTTTCCCAGAGACCCTTGATTTCGGTGCTCCATGAGGGGTTCTTCATGACGATGACCTTGGTGTTGTCCTCGCGAACGATCTTGTCGGCGTCGCAGATCATGAGGGCAAGAACGGCGCCGATGGCCATGAGAGCGATGAAAGCGGCGTATGTACCGTCGGAGACGGGGCCAGCTTTCTTGTTGATGTTTTGAGCAAGGGGGATCTAAGATATGTTAGTGACTACAAATTGCAAACCAAGGTCCAAGAGATACTCACAAGAGAACCAATGACAGCACCCATGTTGAAGATGACCCAGAACCAAGAGATGTATCGTCCCTTGCTCTGCTCAGGAGGATAAGACATCATGATAGATCCCTGAGCAGCCCACAAGAGACCAGCGCAGAGACCCAAGAGAGCACCAGCAAAGACGACAAAGGGCATGTTCTGAGTGTGCGAGTAGCACAAGAAGGAAGCAGCATAGACACAATATCCCAAACCTCCGATGGACAGAGTCAGACGAAGTCCAAGTCTGTTTGCGAAAGTACCGGCGAAGAAACCAATGACAGCAAAGGTGCTGTAGAGAGCCGTGTTGGCGTGGTCCTGGGCTTCATTGGAGACTTGGCCGCCACCTCCGAGACCAGTCAGGGCGTTGAACATGCCGGGACATAGGAAGCAGACGATGGAGACCATGAGGAGTTGGACCTTGGGCGAAGCGTACCAGAGGTCAACTCCAGCGATGCGGACGGTCTTGTACATCCATCCTTTGGGGCGGAAGCCTGGTGTATCTGAGTCTGCGGATTCTGAGGCCGCTTGGGCGATGGGGGATTCCTTTTCGTGAGTAGACATGTTTGTCGTGTGTTGATGGTGTTGAGATGAGGGTCAATGCCCTGTATAAGACAATTGATATGCTTGTCTAGACAATTGAAGACCAGAAGATGAATGAATGAGATAGATCCAAGAAAAGAAGCCCAGATAAGTCCCGGATGTAGCAGAATTAAAGTAGTTGCGAGAAAAGATGGAGAGATACAGACAGGCACGCGACGTAACTCTATCGTAAGGGTGCCCCAAAAATAAACTAGACCCGACCCCTGCCCGTCCTTGATAGTTAGTTACAATTGGGGAAATGTGTGTATCACGAGAAGGCGAAGAGAGGAGAGAGAGGAAAAGAAGGAGAATGGATAGATTGTCAGGGGTCTCGTCAAGTGGTGAGAGTGGATGGGATGGATGGTGGAAGATGGGGAATTGTGAGGGTGGTGCGGGTTAGTTACAGGGGGGTTAATGGGAAGATGCAACAATGGATGGAGGGTGTCGATCCGCTTACAGTGGGTGAGGGTGGCGTATTTTTCCATTTCCATTATTATCAACGTATCGGCCGAGGCCGACGATGACAGTCTCTATCTTACAGACATGCAATGCAATGCAATGCTTTGTGAAGATATCGTCAGGTGTTACAAAAACAATAAAGAGATTGATATCAAGATGATATCAAGAGTTGAGGCTCTGCAAAAAGGTCCATTCCGTTACTCTTGATAGAGCGAGTGCTAGGTTACCTAGTTGACTGCTTTCAACCGCCAAGTCTTGAGACTCGTATCATCTCAACCACCACAGAAACTACATTCAGAAATGTCACGTCAAACTCACTCCCAAAACGTCCACGGTATTCCCCAGATTCACAAGATCAAAAGCCATCGTCTCCATGGGGTAGCATTTCTCAAACATGAGAGGCTATCCAGCTGCAGTGGCGTACCCTAACGGTAACGTTCGTGGATGTCACAGATGCCCCATTCATTGGTAACGTTCTACCCAAACTTTGGAACAATTGTGGATTCGATTCGATTCTATTGCCAGGCTGAGATGAGAGTGGCTGGCTGGCTGGTTGATTTGGGCTACTGAGGTCATCATCTGCAAGTTGAACTTGGTGACACCTTTCTTGGCGATAGTAACATTTACATTTATTTCACTGTAGATTTCATGGTTGCTTTTCTGATGCCATTTCAAGACAGGACAAGCCAAGCCGTTGCGCATGTTTAGTGGTCTCCAAACCCCAGATCAATTTAGGGTCTGTCTTCCAGGGGAAAGGCCCGGCTGTGAAGCTCCGTGATTGGCCAAACAACACCAAATCTCCAGACTTTACAGCCCGTAACCAGTTGAACGGTTCACCAATTGTCTCTCCAAGATACCTATACATAGAAATACCAATACGAAGATGCATGCCTCATTACGAAAATTCTCATCTTGCCATCTTGTTTTTAGAAATACGTCACTGGCACCCGGCAATGCAATGCAAGGCAATGCAATCAATGCTTTGTCCTTCTCGTAACATCCGCCGATACTCACTCATCACGATAACCCAGCTCTGACCATGAGGTGAGAGAGGTCCAATTAATTTATATCCGCATGTAACGTTCCGCCCAGACTGCGGATACCACGATATCTCATGTCCAGCGGTTCCACGGCCTGCCTGATTTGACACTCGTGGATTTGCATACATAGACTACGTTTCACTTCAGCCGCATTTGTTGGGGTCGCTGTGTTCCTTCTGAGCAGGTAAACCGAGATAAAGCGATCCACTGATTGATTACCTGGTTACAGTGAGTTGGAGTTGGAGATATCGGAATGGAGTCTTGGCCTTGCTGCATCGTGATAGCGATAGTAACTACTAACGTAACTGATAGGCATGTTACGTTGTTGAGATAAACAGCTGTCATTGATCTGGTTGCAACTCTGTTTAGCGAGCCTGCATATAACAATCGCTTCTGATGCATGGCATGGGTCATGATTGACGATCCGTGTCCTCGGTACTGTGACTTGTTGCAATTAATTGGTATCCACGGTACTTACTTTGGTGTAGTGCTATTGCATGGGTTTGGGTATAAATGTTCCCGTCCCCCATTTTGTGTTCTTGTGCAGTATGGAAGGGGAGCTATTGGATAGGATTGTTTTGACATGCAAGGTACTCCGTACTGCTCTGACAATGGCAGCTACCTACTAAAATAAAGTGTGCATGATGTTGTCATTTGGTGACATCCATCATTACCAGTATGAATCTGGTGTAATCCAATGGAGAACTAATTAATTAAGCCACAGTTTATGCCCATTGTCCGTAAATCTAATCAGAGAACTACATGAATGTCCCAGCATATTTATTCTGGATCATCCAACTGGTTGTCAGAATTACAAACCTTGATGGCCTGTCTTTTTTGTCTTGATGACCAACATAAAAACTATTGCATTTTAGGTACCTACCTAGCTTCACGTAATACTGTATATAAGCTCTCATAACCCATTCGAGACCGAACAGACTTACCTTGCGTACCAATTATCAAAGAAGTAAAAAGACCATTATGATATCTTTCCGATGCCATTATTTGTCATGATTGCCATGGTCCTCTTTGTTGAATGAATCTGGCCGTTAACATCACGTGAGCCTGACAAATTCTCACGCTCTGATTCGCTCGGACAAGATCGGGGAGCCATTCTGACGTACCAGCGGTCTCCGGCAACAAACGCCTTTTAGCACCGAGGAGCCGGGCTTTGAAATCATAAGCCTCCACTATCCATCCACTAAATCCTTTGCCTTTCTTGATACCAATCCTTAACCTCAACATCACCACCACATGCCCCCACAATGTTTGCCTCAAGATCGATAACGAGAATCGCCCTGCGACGAGGATGCCCTCTGAGGCAATTCTCAACCTCGAGACCTCTCGCCGTGTCCTACCATTCATACACTCTACCAACACATACCTCGACGCCTCCGAGAAACGACGATGTTCCTGAAACTTCAATAACACAACCTGATCCTCTTCCTAAAGTCCACGAGACACGACCTCCTCCGCAACAACCTCAGCATCCTCAACCACCTAAGAAACAAGAACCCGCACCAACACAAATTGCTACTCCCGCCACATCGGCATCAGCTCCGAAGCTCAGCGAAACAGAAACTCAGAAGCCAAAGGCAGCTAGACCACGATCTAAGCTACGACCGCGCAAGGCCGCTATGAAGTTGACGCCTTCTGCGGTGGAGCAATTGCGAGAATTGCTGGATCAGCCGGAACCGAAGCTCATCAAGGTCGGAGTACGGAACCGAGGATGCAGTGGCTTGGCGTATCATCTTGAATACGTTGATAAGCCTGGTGCTTTTGACGAGACCGTTGAGCAGGATGGAGTCAAGGTCTTGATCGATAGCAAGGCGCTGTTTAGCATCATTGGAAGTGAGATGGATTATGTTGAGGACAAGCTTAACCAGCGATTTGTGTTCAAGAACCCGAACATCAGTAAGTTGCCGCAACAGTCACAGATTGTCACAATACTAACAGACCTCTCAGAGGAGGAATGCGGCTGCGGAGAGTCCTTCATGGTCTAGAATGGAAGCCACCGTCCGTCCGGTGGTCGCATCGGTACATACGAAAACAAAACATCACTCACGAGAAACGTCATTCATGCTTGAATGACAGGGATGTGTATGAATCATCCCGTCGTCTCAGCATAAGAGACACGAGAGTCCGGAGATGATCAAAGTCCAGCGAGAAACAGCATGCAAAGAAGCATTTGCGAGTCGCGTCTTGTGAAAACCAAAAACAGGAGCCGTCGGGAGCAGGCATGGTAACCCCGTAACTAGGATCGGCATAATCATTGGCGTTGGGTTAGATTGGAGACATCACCTCCCTCTGTTTGAGAAAAACATCATACATACATTCATACATATACCAGCGTGCTGCTTTTTGGTACAGAAATGAGGAGACATGGAATAACGAGATGGTCACAACTAAGGGAAGCTTTTGTAGATCGAAACGACGAACTTGTGTAAATAATATCATGGGTCACATACTGAAGTCCACTGCTGTCTCTGTCAAGCTCTCGGAAAGGTCATTCAGTACCTAGGCAAAGACTTGCGATACATGAGACGAAGCAGCTCGCGAAGGACCAGCCAGTTAAGACTGAGAAGAAGTTGGAGGCATGATGCTAAATGAACAGTAAATAGATCTTGTTGTTCTCAATTGAAGTAGATGCTCTGTTCCAACTGGGATATAGAGTAGGAGGCATCAAGACGAAGAGTTGGCAAAAGCAGCTTAGTGTATACCCTGACGTTGTTTTGCTTGCTTACATCAATCACATCGTCAAGATGGCCGAGTGGTCTAAGGCGCTGCATTCAAGACGTTGTCTTATCCGGTTAACTGGATTCTGCAGTATCGAAAGATTCTTGGGTTCGAATCCCAATCTTGACAGTTATCTTTTGGACATTTCGTGGATATTATTTCTTTTTGGTCTTCTATCTGGATGGATAAGTTAGATGGTGCCATATAATCAAACGATTGGCTTCGTATCTATGATTGTATAAGCTGTGTATGGAGCTCGTGTGAGTCGAGGGACAGTACATATCCTGAAGGTTACTGTACGCCTACGCCGACAAAAAGAAACCATTTTCCCGGAAGTATTCGCTATTACAATTCTAAGGCAGATTGCAGATATCTAAGCCATTTATGTGTATAGCATTTACCAGCATGGCTGGCTACCTGTCGATGCGCGTCACATGACTTCGCGATATGTGTTGCTCTAGATGTTGGCGTCGACCACGCCCTTTGACGTGACGCATCTTTAATGACCGTGATTTAAACTGTGACTCTTTGATTTTGCCCTTTCACTTCATATCGACACTGCAAGCCATCCAATAGGCAATACCTATAACTTGGAATTACCCTTACATATATTTCAACGCACTTCACTCATTGTACCATATCTGCTAGAGAAAGCTATGGCAGCCCTCACCAAAAGCAAGCGACCTCTTGAAGAGCCCCAAGAAGATCGCAAAGTCAAAGTCACAAAGACCAAGAAACAATCCTCACCTGCTGCACCAATCTCGCCCGCTGACTTCACCACAATCATGGCTTCTCAACTAGCTCTCATCGAAACATCCACTCGCACACCGTTCGAGAAGAGTGTATGGACACTTCTCTGCCAGATCCCACGGGGTAGCTTCTCAACATACGGTATCATGGCTGCTCATTTAAAGTCGTCACCAAGAGCTGTAGGCAACGCGCTGCGACGGAACCCGTTCGCACCAGAAGTACCATGTCATCGCGTTGTGGCTACTGGAGGTGCGTTGGGTGGGTTCAAGGGGAAGTGGCCTAAAGATGGTGAGGGAATCACTCTTGATGAGAAGAGGAAGCTTTTGAGAGGCGAAGGAGTGAGATGGGATGATAAGGGGAAGGTTATAGGGACGCCGTTTAGTGGATTTACGTGAAATGGTCTCTGATGAGACATTAACTCTACCTTATCTTGTATACCTACAATAATAATGAACACCATGAAGTTGAAGACTTTGGTATCCTATCACTGGACGTCTTTCTCCCTGTGGGGGAAATCCGGCCAACGACGTACGTGCCTATTGTAGCCGAAACCCGGAGACGTTTTAGTATCCAACGGCAACGTTTTTTATTCGTGCTTCACCTTGGACTCACCCGAGACGGATTTGCATGGCCGGTTTTCACAGCTCGGTAGTCTTGTGCCGCGCTGGAACAGGTTTGGCGGTTAGTAAAAAAGTGGGATTTGCTACAGCCCTGAGACTGAGAGGACGGTAGATGATGGATCTTGGTCACCGTGACGAGCCCGCGGGAACAGATGTTGGTTGTCATGTCATTTGCTCAGAGAAGAGAAGCGATATATTCTGCAACTAGCATGGCCGAGGACGTTGAGGTCAATTCTGTTGCAAAGTCAATTATATAGATAGATTCAGCTTTAGAGAGACGAAACGGGTAACAAAGACATTATCATCAACAATCAACTATTATTATATCATTATCAAATCGGTGAATGTCCTTTTCCGTACTAATTTGTCTCGTTCTGCTCCTGGAGTCCTGTCTCCAAGTTAGCCCGACAAATCCCGTGCCCAAAATAGTGGATCAAACCACAGAGCACAAGCCTAGGTTAGTGGTCTGTCTGAGCCTCCTGATTGATTGAGCGCCGTAGCTTCGTGGATTTGGTTTTCCTCGTCATCCGAAAACCTCTTTTTCTACTGTTACCTACCTCCTTGTGACGATCTAAACCGCCCTCTCCCCTTCTCTTTATCCCCCCAAAGTCCCTCTCTTTCTCGACCATATCCCCAATCTCCTCTCTTCCTTTATCCGTCACAATGTTCAAGCTCGGCCGTAGTCGTGCTGTGGCTTCGGCCCTCAACGCCTCAAAGGTATGTCCCAGTTATGTTATTGCCCGCTAGACAAATGCTTGGTGATGCGCTTAATATATATATATATATATATACAAACAGTTGCTAACCATAATAATAGCTCCAGTTTGCTGCCCCTGCCGCTCGATTCCCCGGCGTTCAGCAACGACGAGCTCTGAGCATTCACGAGTACCTCTCTGCCGACCTCCTCCGACAGGTAAGGTTTTATCTACTCAATGTCCCCCCCCTTGACGATCGTCGATACTACGAACTACAAACTACGGGACTCACCTCAGGAAAACCACGGCTGCTAACCACCAACAGTACGGCATTGGTGTCCCCAAGGGTTCCGTCGCAAAGTCCGCCAAGGAGGCCAAGGAGATCGCTGAGAAGATTGGCAACGATGATATGGTTATCAAGGCCCAGGTCCTTGCCGGTGGCCGAGGAAAGGGTACCTTCGACAACGGCCTGAAGGGCGGTGTCCGTGTCATCTACTCTCCCCACGAGGCCGAGATGTTCGCCGAGCAGATGATCGGCCACAACCTCATCACCAAGCAGACGGGCGCTGGCGGCCGTCTCTGCAACGCCGTCTACATTTGCGAGCGCAAGTTTGCTCGCCGTGAGTTCTACCTCGCCATCCTCATGGACCGTCAGAACCAGTGCCCCGTCATCGTCTCCTCTTCCCAGGGCGGTATGGACATTGAGACCGTCGCCAAGGAGACCCCCGATGCCATCCACACCAACTACATCGACATCAACGTTGGTGTCACCGACGAGGTTGCCCGCGACATTGCCACTAAGCTTGGCTTCAGCGAGCAGTGCATCGAGGAGGCCAAGGACACCATCCAGAAGCTCTACAAGATCTTCACCGAGAAGGACTCTACCCAGATTGAGATCAACCCCCTCTCCGAGACCTCCGACCACAAGGTTCTTTGCATGGACGCCAAGTTCGGTTTCGACGACAACGCCGAGTTCCGACAGAAGGACGTCTTTGAGTGGCGCGACACCACCCAGGAGGACCCCGATGAGGTCCGCGCTGCTGAGTCCAACCTCAACTTCATCAAGCTTGACGGTGATATCGGCTGCCTTGTCAACGGTGCTGGTCTTGCCATGGCCACCATGGATATCATCAAGCTGAACGGAGGTCAGCCCGCTAACTTCCTCGACGTTGGTGGTGGTGCCACTCCCGCTGCTATCCGAGAGGCTTTCGAGCTCATCACCAGCGATGCTAAGGTCACCGCTATCTTTGTCAACATTTTCGGTGGTATTGTCCGATGTGACGCTATCGCCACTGGTCTCATCAAGACCGTTGAGAGCATGAACCTCCGAATCCCCATCATTGCCCGTCTCCAGGGTACCAACGTTGAGCAGGCTCACCAGCTCATCAACGACTCTGGTCTTAAGATCTTCTCCATCGATGACCTACAAACCGCCGCCGAGAAGGCTGTCCAGCTGTCCAAGGTCGTCAAGATGGGTAAGTTGCCATGACCACTGTAGTGTCTGTTCTGATTACTAACACTCGAATAGCCCGTGACATCGATGTCGGTGTCGAGTTCACCCTCGGTATCTAAACAGCTCCACTTGAAAATGCTGTTAGACGAGCAGTGGTGGAGGATATGATATAATAACAAAGATGTGAGACTTGAGCTCCAGGAAGCTGCGGTTCCAACCAAAACCGAGAGTAGATGAAACAAACAAACACTCATGAACAAGAGTGGGAGACATGGGTGGATATTCCTGTTTTTTTAATTTAGCATGCATCGGCCGGTCTTTGGAGCTCGCTGCTCGTAAAGACACATGGTTTCGATGCTCTCGAATGTAGTCCGATTGGTTCGATAGAAGGACGGATGATTCAAAGGATTGACGGGCGATATGGTCTCCAACAAGATGATTTTTCGCGTATCCACGCCCTGCAACTGATGTATTCCTCATGCCGTGATTCGTGATTTGGCGTGGCGTGTGAGATCAAGGGTGATGAACCGTCAAATCTCGTGAGATGACGAGTAGTCACTGAGACTCTCAAGACTCATACTCGCACTGCCTTTGACCCCAAGCATGATAGAAGAAGATTGTTCCACGCAGCCAACTTTGGCTGACTTGGAGTCAGTCATGGGTTCTTGAGTGATGAGAACAGCTGAGGGGTCGGAAGAGTCATTCTCAACAAACCCAGTTCTATTGAGTAAACGGAACAAGTCACAGATGGGCTGTTGGACTAATTATGTACAAGAAGACGATTCGATGTTTCGGTCCAGACTCGGCTAATAAGTCTCTCGGATGTAAGGGTCCAATTTCATGCATCGTCTCAGAGCCGCATTCTTAGCTCATAATGGGATGATTTCAACTTGTTGACAAAGTGTATTAATAATGGATCAAAGGGTTAGATGATAGATAGTAGGGTGAGTATTGAGATGGCTTATGCCGGTAAAAGAAAGAAGAAGAAAGAAGAAGAAGAAGAAGGTATTCGGAAACAACTATAGCTTAGATCATCGACGTGCAGTTGAAAGCCACCCATCATGGGCAAGGCTTGGCGATCTCTCGTCTCGCCGCACACCATCACAACCTAAAGTCAGCCTCAACTTTCCCACGACTCCTTGTCCATATCGTGACTTTTCTCTTTCCTCGCCTCCCATCTCCACAGCTTTTATCACATCATATATGTATGATAAGCCCCCTTAAGCACAGATATTCGTGACTCACGAAATGAAATCTCTGAACAAGATTTTCCCAGCTTATCCTCGGTTATTCCCCTTGCCAGCGACCCACGTCTCAATGATGAAAATCTCCTGACGTAGATAAGACATCGGATCGAGCCGCAAAGGGGGCAACAGCTTCTAACCAATGGGTTCTCGTTCCGTTGAGGTTCGAGGCGGGAATTGCATCGGTTTCATTTCCAGATCCACTGCGGAAGAGCCGCATGCAAGCAATTGGCGTTTAATAGAGGCCAAGGGAGGAGGTGTGAGGTAGGATTTGCGAATGCCGACCCAAGACCGACGCGGGAGGAGAATCTGAGATGGAATCTGTAGATGATGGTGAGTCTCGTGATGTTGGGGATTATAGGGATGAGGCTGATGGTGAGCTATGATGGAATATAGGGTGATTTGGAGAAGTAGGGGATTTGGGGATTATCAACTGTGTTGTTTTGATAAGTGAGGTTAAAGGCGTGTAAGTCAACCGCTACTGGTGGTATAGATCAGCTTAGCATATCTAAATGCTAACTTGAGCCAAGACTACACCCAGACCATTGCCATTAGACTATAGTAACTTAGTTGTTACAAACAGTAAGGCAAACTCTTCAGCCAATTACCTAACTAGTTATATGCTATTCCTTTGCAGTCCTGTCTCGCAGTGAGCTCACTCAATCATCCGTCAACCTCACGTGCCAACGCCTCCAAACCACTTCCTCCTCAACACGCAACACCCAAACTTGACAAGCCGTTGAACCCAATGCAACTGCACGTCGAAATAAGGCCACAACTTTAATCAGTTGCCGCGCTTATCCCCCGTTTAGCACGTGGTCCCCTCTCCCCAGGCCGACGATTGGGGGGGGAAACGCGGGGAAATGGAGATTTACTTGTCGTGAGGGGAACAGAAAAACCGCGCCATAATCCATCCCATGTAAGAAAGGGTCTTGGCTCTGGGGAGATTCGGTCAAGAGAGAGATTCGTAGGAGGAGATATAAAACGTCTAAGAAAACGCGGTAAAAAGTGAAGGTATCGCGATTTGATATGTAGATTTGCGAACCCACTCTTTTTCCGGACGTCTCTCGGTATCTGGCTGAGAAGAGGAGGCTGCCCCATTTTGTTGCCGTGCATGGGTCAGGTCAGGGATGGTCTTGGTCTTGGTCTTGGATGGCTTCGAGCTTTTTGATGGATGAGAAAGAATACTTTTGCAAAGGAGAATCTCGGGTTGGTTTGTTGGTCCCACATGCTATAGAAGTGAAGAAACATAAATACCCAAGACATCCTCTTCGTTCTTTCGTGGAACTGTAGTTTATTCTTGTCTTCTTTGATCTTAGCAAGCGACTTACACACAACTTGACGTTTGTTACACTTGAGATATCTTCAGTCTCAACGAGTCTTACATCTATCTTACTACTCTTACTACTCAACACTACTTCAGCCACCACAACTATATCAACCTCGCTCATACTCAAGATGCCTTCCTCAGTCAAGAGTTGGTTCGCTCGTCACTGTGCACCTCCGCCGCCAATGACAAACAACCCTCTATGCCCATGCACAACCTGCTTCAACGGTGGTTCACACTCCAACAACTCAGCATCATTCTCCATGTCCTCATCAACACCATCATCAACCGTCGACTCAGACAACGCATCACTCAGCAGCGGTACAACCTACGCTGCATCCTCATACATCGAGACCCCCACCAAACAATAAGACCGAACACACATACACCCACACGCCCTGGTCTGACGAATTACTATCGGAACGAATAGCGAGTTTTATCTTATGGAGTTCTTGATCTATACCATTACTTGCGATTGGCGTTTGCTCGGAAACAACAAGGCATGTCATTGTCACATCAGAAACATGACGGGGATTTGATTGGGCTTGGGATTTGACGGGGCCGATGTGGGCTCATCCGATGGGTGGAGTGCTCATTCGGATCGGCTCCGAGGCGGAGTTTACGTATTTTTATGTTATAGATAAGGGTAGGTACCTACCTGGTAGTACTGAATAGAGTACAGAAGCTGGCCTTTCATTGATGTATCGTCGGAATGTGAATGTGTCATCAGGGTCGGACCCGATCATGCCCTGTTCTCTTGATGAAAGCAACCGTATGATTCGAGTAGAAACAGCTAGGATCTGTTTGACCAGGAGCCGTACAGCAACTACCTTGCCATTCAAGACATTGGCCAAGAGTGGAGTGATCTGGAAGATCTTGCAGGTACTCGACAGATCTCGGGCCTTCTGGCACCCACAAAAGAAAAGCATGGAATTGGGCTATTCATCCGTGGCAAAGATGTAACAAAGAACTGGACAAGCCTAGCACGTTTTTGGCCCAAGATGAGGTGTAGGATAACCTCTGGCTTGGTTACCTCATCACTTGAATCACTGTTTAGGGGTTCATCGGGGGCAGCTCTTTTGTTGTCTACATAACTTGTCACTGTCACCTACTGTATTCATTATCTGATGACTACATCAAAGAAACTAGCTTCGCACTTTCACCTTAACCCACTCATACTTGAATGCAGTTTCTTCTTCAGAAAAGCCGTCTTCTCTGGACTCTCCGGATGACGGCCCGATATGCAAAAGACCGGCGCCGTGAATTACTTAGCTCCCGATCGGTCGGCCCCACCCACTCCGGGTCAAAAAGCTCCGGACTTGGAGATGTGAACATAGACCTCCGATCAAGCTTCCAACAGTAGTGGCCCACGAGAACAATGCTACTTAATCGATTGAGTGATGCACCCATGAAAACAAGAGGGTTCCTTGTTCGCTTTGATACAAACTCGGGCTGATCGTACTTCTCAAGGTGCCCTAATGAAGTGAACAGTCTATTTGCCGAGACACACGGCTTGGATACTCACTAAACAACGTCTACGGTAACATCCTGCTATGATGAAATGATAACATCATATCTCTCCCTCTGCATCTAAACAATTTTGGGAAAAATAAGTAGGATAAGTCACTACGTTGCAATGCTCCAAGCTTCCGTGCATATTTTCGCATTACTAACACCAAAGCTTTGACGTCACCTCATCATCCCACTCCATCTTCCCATCTTCATACCAGCCAAGTTCAGTTTGGAAAGCACCACAAACAAATCGCGTACCTGAATATCGCCACGCTTGTATAGACCCCGCAACCCTTGGAGATCATGCCGCATACGAAAGTCGACCCCGCCATCGTTGAAGCCCTGGGGCTAGACCCCGCCAACTCGGCTATCAACGCTCATGGTGGATCGGGCTTTGTTTCTACGTTCAAGATAACGTCCGAGAAGGATGGCAAGCCTTTGAATTACTTTGTCAAGACTGGTACAGGGAAGGAAGCTGAGGTTATGTTTAGAGGTCAGTATCCGTTTCATACACAGCCGTCTAATATCATGATCTAACAGAGCTCAGGTGAACATGCCTCCCTTAATGCCATAGCAGACTCAGTTCCCAACTTCTGTCCCAGATCTCATGCCCACGGAGCCCTCACAGGCCGTCCAGGGCAATACTTCCTCGCCACTGACTTTCTCGATTTGGGGTCATCAGCATCTGGTGGTTCAGGCAAGACTCTCGCTTCAAAGGTTGCGCAGCTACATGCAACACCAGCTCCCATCCCAGAAGGCTATGACAAGCCAATGTTTGGGTTCCCAGTCCCTACGTGCTGCGGTGCTACAGAGCAAGATAACTCATGGCGAGAGTCGTGGGCTGACTTTTACGCTAATAACCGTCTGAGACATATCGCGCGTCAGGCAGTTCGCAACAATGGTGCTGATCCAGAACTTGAAGAAGTTGTTGAGACAGTTGCTAGCAAGGTAGTTCCACGGCTGATTGGGGACGATGTTGTGAAGAACATCACACCTGTCGTTATCCATGGCGATCTATGGAGTGGGAATCATTCCAAGGGGCAAATCGCTGGTCAAGGCGGGTGCGAAGAAGTTGTCTATGATCCCTCAGCTGTATACGGCCACTCTGAGTTTGAACTCGGCATCATGAACATGTTTGGAGGCTTCACCAATCACTTCTGGAAGGAGTACCATGAACTGGTACCAAAGGCAGAGCCAGTAGCTGAGTGGTCCGACAGAGTGAAGCTATACGAATTGTAAGATCACGTTTTCCCTCAAACTCAACGATACTGACATCGCCTCAGATACCACCACCTCAACCACTATGCCATGTTCGGCGGTGGCTACCGAGGAGGCGCCATGTCCATCATGAGGAAACTCATCAGCAAGTACGCATAGCAGATAGAAGTTCAAGATACTGTATTTCATGATTCAAATGCAGAAATGCCTCAACGCCTCGTGTTGCCCGCTGTATACACCCAAGTCTAAGTATAGTAGAACGTCTCGAAATATAAAATGCTCTGTCCAAAATGTCTCGCTCGCTCCTCGTCTATGCTGCAAGCATGGCTGGTTGCTTCGCTTTCTCGGCTTGGGCCTCGACTTCTGGATTCTTCTGTACTTCTGGTAGATTCGCCACGGGGACCGAGGGTAGTTTGGCTGGGCCTGTGAGTTCGGCTTCGAGAGCTTCCAGTTCGTCTTCCACCTCTTGCTCGTCTTGGTTCGAGATACGACCTCCAAGCATATCGCTGACTTCCTAGGAGTGTGTGAGTATATTTCGACCTGTGAAACAATAGCACCATAGTAACATACCTGTTGATATGCAATAGCCTCCGCCGTCTCGCCCATCAACTTCTCCACATTCTCAATCCCACCCATCTCAGCATGAATCTCCTTAAGCACCTTGGTTCCCTGCTGCAGCCCAAACACCACGTCCTTCTGTATAAGCGCAAACTCGACATCGTTCGTCAATTTCTCCAGCTGAGCTAATTGCGCATCTGTCTTGGCTAGTAGCGACTCTTGATATTTCTTGCGCCGCAGGGCTAGCAGGGCTCGCTTCTTGTCGCCCTTGGCCAGCATCTGCTTTGCGATATCGGTCTCTTTATCCGTGAGGACTGTTATGCGCCGTTGGTATTGGTGAAGTCTATCGCGCTGATTCTTCATGTCCAGGATGGCCCTAAGGATTGTTAGTATCGAAGGCGGTCACGAGCGCAATCGCGGGGATGAGAGGGACGGACTTGTCCTGGGCTGTGACTTTACTTGCGTTTCCGCCCATGATGAGGATCGTGAGAATGTGTTTGGCAGTGTATGAGCTTATCGAGAGGTTGTTAGGAGAAGTTGTGTGGCTGTTCAAGTCGAGGCTGAGAGTTCGAGGTTTCTGGTTTCGCTTTAATGATAGCGAGCGATTGTCACGATTGTCACGAGGGAGACTATCGTCATCGGCGCCGATACTGGGGTCCAGGGTCTTGCTTATCGATAAGCCAGGCTCTCCAAGTTGACATAATTCCTTGAGCAGATTTTCCAGTAAAGATTATAAGACTTTAGCAAAGCTTTGATTAAAACATAAGAGGTTTATAGCAGATTTGCTAAGTTGAGATCTAAACAGTAAGCCTTATTAACAAATCAAACAGCAGGACCACTCCAATTGTACAATATCAACAGGTATCTGGACTGGTCACGTTAGTAGTTAAGACATAACTCCATGTAAGACACATAATACAACACCGAGGAAGAACGTTGACAGCCATGATATGAATAAACGAATCGAATTGATATGTAAGCATTAAATTATCGTTCACCGAACTCGGTTGGTAAATTAATTTCAATTTCAATCTCAAACGCGGATATTTGTCTCTGAAGCAGTGGCTTGTCCTGTTTATTCTGTCACCACCTCAGGCCTCTTAACTTTTTTTCCCGTTCAGTCTTCACAAATCTCGAACCTCCCATCAACATCAAAGCCGATCGTCGGTGACGCGACATAGTCCCTAGCGATAATGACTCTAGGAGCCAAAAGGCCTCGCCTGAACCTGAGGCAGGGCCTCGATCGCGATGTATACATGGTAATGAAAAAGCTCGAGGATGCGAACGATGGCAAGCCCTTCAAGACCACCACAGCCGTCTATGACGCTATCAAGAGGTCAAATTCCAGCCTCAGCCGACAAAAGAAGCGCCCTCTTGAAGACTCAATCGACCGCGTACTTCAGTTCCGTAAAGAAGAGCTCGGCGATTCAAGTGACTCTGAAGCTGAACTCGAAGAGCCAACCAAACCAGACGACGACCGTTTTCTTCTCAACAGACAAATGACGAAGCACTGGCACCAGAACCCAACAACTGCTACTGCTGCAGAAACGGCGACTCCACCTGTGAGTGAAGCACCTCGCGCGATCAAGAAGCGGCGAGTGCAGGAAGATGGCGAAGAGCGAGCGAAGGATGGAGTAACCACGCCCAAGGGTGCCATGACGGATACAGATGCTGCGCCTACGGAAAAGCAAGACAAGGCACCTCTGAAGAAAACACAAAAGACGAGCCGCCACAAGGTTGAACATCCTTCCAGCTCGATACAGATCGGAGGCGTGGCCGACATCTACACAGAGCTCTGCAAACAAACACACCACGTTTTGAAATGGCCAGAACAGTTCGCCCTCAACCGCTGGCGAAAGGTCCCCGGAATTCTGCTCTCAGGCCCGCCTGGAATTGGCAAAAAGACGCTCGTTAGATTCCTTGCTTCGAAGATCGACGTCCCCATTGTGTCTCTTACAGGCTGCTTCGAAGAACCAGAGCGCCTGGAAAGAAGCTTAAACGATGCAATTGAAGAAGCCATGAGAATAGCCCCATGCATCATCCTCATCGAGCAACTCGACTGGTACATGCCCAAGCCCGAAGGTAGCAGCCACAGCGAAGGCCATCGCCGCAACATTATACAGTTCATGCGACAGATGCAGCGCATCGCAACTGAGCAAGACAAGGAACGACACATTTTAGCCATGGCGACAACATCGCGAATCACAGATGTCGACCCTGCAGTCCTCAAAACTGGCCTTTTCGAACGTACGCTCCAGATGCGGATCCCAGACCTCGGGGCCCGTCAAGATATCCTCAAGCTCGTTACCAGAGACAAGGACCTGGCACAGAGTGTCGACTTCGCAGAGCTGGCCAAGATTACACATGGTTTCGTCGGCGCTGACATTATTAACGTCGCGACACTTGCACAGCAACTTGCATCTGAACGCCATTTGGACGTTACCCAATATTCCAAACACCTTGAACTCCCATCCATATTGTCGTCTGACCTACCCGATCTTATGGAACTTGCGGACGAACAACTTCCTACTATCTTTCCCGAGCCTCAAAATACACCCCTAACCCAAGAAGATTTCAAAAAGGCTATCAAAAGCTTCACTCCCTCCCTACGAAAAGAGGGCTTCACAGTCATTCCCAACATCTCCTGGGAGCAGGTCGGTGCTCTCCAGGCTGCTCGCGACCAGCTCAATATGTCAATCATTGGACCTATCAAAGATCCCGAGCTCTACCGTCGTGCTGGCCTTGCTCGTCCAGCAGGTTGCCTTCTTTGGGGCCCTCCCGGCTGCGGTAAAACTCTCGTCGCCCAAGCTGTCGCCAACGAAGCACAGGCCAGTTTCATCCTTATCAACGGGCCTGAACTTCTCAATAAATACGTCGGTGAATCAGAGCGCGCAGTGCGTGAGCTATTCAACCGGGCACGCTCGTCAACACCCTGCATCCTCTTCTTCGATGAAATGGATTCCCTGGTCCCAAAACGAGACAGTGCAACAACAGACGCAGGCACCCGTGTTGTCAATGCACTGCTCACGGAGCTCGATGGTGTTCAAGACCGCACAGGCGTATATGTCATCGGCACAACTAATCGACCAGATATGATCGACCCGGCCATGCTTCGACCCGGCCGTCTCAACGTGCGCCTCTTCATCGACCTACCCACCCCTGACGAGAGGGTCGATATCCTCCGAGCCATCTATCGTACAAACCACCCCGACGCAACAGCCGAGGAATTCGATCGCCTCGAGCCTATTGCTCGAGACCCTCGCTGCACCGACTTTAGCGGTGCTGATCTAGGCGGGTTGCATGTGAAGGCTGCCGAAAGTGCCCTTCGACGATGTCTTCAGGGGGCTAAACCCGAAGCTGAGATCGATGGTGTGGACTGGGAGCGCGCCCTCTCCACTACCTATAGAAGTGTGCAGAATCCTGAGACTTACCGAAAACTTGAGGTAAAGTTAGGGAAATCTTAGATGACTTTTATGATAGTTTTAGAGTATATTTCTTAATTTAGACAATTCATCTAAGATATGACTTATATTGTGCCTAAAGTTGTAAATATAGTCTAAAGCAATACTAAAACCAGACCGAAGAAGCTCATCGCAATATTGAATCTGGCTTTCTCGAGTGGCAAGTAAGTTGATGCCTTCAAATCAATCAATCAATTTCACCATATCTCATCACGTCACACCGAACCCCAACGCAACGCCAGCCACGGTGGCTCAAAATTTCTCCAACACCTGTCAATGAGACCTCACCTCATTTTCATGTCAGGGGTAAAAAAGCAAAATCTCCAAAAAATCAAAGACAAGAAGCACACCGCCCGCCGATCGCCGCAGGTCCCGCATACGCCGCCGGAGCAACGGAGGCGCACGGAAATAGCTCGGCAATCACAAAGTCATGATGAAAAAAACCTGGAGTGGGATCGAAAAAATGATCAAACATGCTCATGAAAAAGAACCGGTTTGCGCGGATGACCCTCTTTACGGGGCACACTCGGTTATCGGGAGATATGGACATGTAATCGGATTTGACGGCATCGAGATTGGTTGGTGGCATCGTATCATGGTAAAAATGACGTTCACAATTGATTCCAAATGCATAATTATGAGACACAAAGGTAAACAAGATTGTGAGAGTAGAAAAAATAAGTCAATATCTCTATCGTAACAAAATCGGGCTATGATGCGGACACGTTTAATATTGGTCTCATGTCATTCCTGTTTTCCGCCTCAAACCAACGCCAGGCTTTCTTCTTGGTTAAAAAAGACGGTCGTGTTGTATCGGAACGGAAGTCGCATAAAGAGGAGAGATGGGAATAGGATACGAAGCACGTGGCATGTCTTAACAAGTGCTGTGTAGAGTCTATAGTACAAACGCCCCCTGGCGGTCCCCATCTATCGAAAGTCGTAACATTACACGCGATCGAAAGTCGCTTATTTGGTAGAGTCCTTGAGGTAGCTGTGGAAGAGATGTTAGTGACTGTTGTGATGCAGTTGGGGGATGAGAGTGTAGCAGTTTGGAATCATATGGTATCACTGTAACCCTTGAGAGAGAACAGAAGATCCAATGGCCAGAGCCGACTGCAGCTCAACAAAGTAAAAAACTTACGCAATGAGATCGTTGCGGTCCTTGGCCTTCTTCAAGCCACCGAAGGCCATCTTGGTACCGGGGATGTACTTCTTGGGGTTCTCGAGGTACTCGAAGAGAGTGTCGTCGTTCCACTCAATGCCCTTCTGCTTGTTGGCATCGGTGTAGGCGTAGCCCTCGACGGAACCAGTCTTGCGGCCCCAGAGGCCGTGCAGAGCAGGGCCGATCTTGTTGCCGCCGTCCTTCTCAACGGTGTGGCACTGAGCACATCGGGTCTTGAAGAGGTTGGCACCCTTTTTGATATCGCCTGCACATTGTGAGTTAGTGGATGAGTCCTCGGTTGAGAGTGAGTCTTGGTCTTTGGTGAGGCTGTAGACAAGGTTTCGTGAGTCTGATGAGAGGACGAAAGAAGAGTCGCTTTGGTTGGTGGCTTAGAGGCGTGGCACGAGTTGTTGGTGAGTCTGGGTGAGCACTTCGTGGTCATGGGAAAACCGGTTCTGGGTAAATGACGCAGGCAACAGGGTCAGCGGGCCAACCTCAGCTGGTGACCCAAGCATGACTCTCTGCCATTGTGCAAGGCTCAAATCCCCTCGAGACTCGAATTGAAAGTCGTGATATCCTCTGCGAAAAGCGTCTCCCCTTTCGTTGTCCTCAATTGCATCTCTCCAAGCCTTGCGCTACAGCCGGCGCAAACCAAAGCAAGCTGTGAGAATAGACTTACCGCCAGCCATTGTGAATGTAGGTTGTGATTAAGGAGTTAAAAGGTGGTAGTAAATTCAACGAGAGGCGTTAGCCAAAGACAAGAGCAACAAGTCGATTGAGAGTTAAGAGTGTGGATGTGGGAAAAAAGAAGAGAGGAAGAGGAGAGAGAGAGGAAGAAAAAGATCCGAAGCA